TCGCGGGGGGGAGGGAGAGAGGGGGGCCAGGGAGGTGGGTGTGGGTGGAGTGGGGGTGAAGCAGATTCAGAATTGTCGGGAATTACTCAAACAAGCGAATCCGGTTGCCTTCAAGAGTGAATTTAGGAGTTATCTTGAGGGGACGGGAGCATTTTTTGTTTTCAACAATCAAGTAGGTCGTGTTCGGGTTAGGAAATTCTACAAGATAACAAGGAGCGAGACTGTTTCGAATTATCAAACCAGGAAGGCCAGAGGAAAAGACCGTTCTGAAAAAAAGCCAAATCACCACTAAATGCAACCATTCAGAAAGAAAAGAAAGAAAGAAAGGAAGGAAGGAAGGAAGAAAGAAAGAAAGAAAGAAACCGCGAGAAAAAGACGTCCAGAAAGTAATAAAACATTCTCAAACCGCCAGAGGAAGGACGACGTAAGAAGTTAACAGACTATAGTAGTAATACTGGAATAGCCTACTATACTAATTACGACCTCGTCTACCTACCTCGTTCCGTCGTCATTCAAAAGCGCTCCTTCTTTTCTTCCGTCTCTTCCTTTCCCCCTTGCCTCTCTTCTTCTTCCGCAAAAGACTCGCCAACGCGTTCGCTAAAGTCAAAGCCTTGCTTCTCGCCACGGCCGTGGTGACCCTTAAGCCGACTCAAAAGTCACCTTCTTCCGCAACAGACTCGCCAACGCGTTCGCTAAGATCAAAGCCTCGATTCTAGCCACGACTGTTCCTGCGCCGCTCCTTCCTCTTACTGAGTGATATGGAGACTGGACATACGCAAGTTAGGGAGACTTATACTAGCCGAATGCCCCTACGTAACAGAATGCATGCAATTTCATGACATCACTAGAGTTCCAAGGAATGTGGACGTTCAAAAGTAGATGCTCCTACTTCGACAACAAAAATGCTCCTATTTCGCGAAGAAGTTCCTACCGACTCTGTCTGACAAGGTACACAACAAGGCCAGTAAATGCGCGGTGCAAGCCGACTAAATGCTCTTCTAATGCACTAATGCTGAGTGCTGCGACTGGTGACATTTAGATTCCTGAAGAAGACGGAACTTGCCATGAACCGCTGGTTACCGTATTAGAACATACCGAACCATTTATTTGACGACAAGCAGACAAAGGTGCAGCCCTCTCTCACCTAGATGATGTCGAAAGTTGGCAAGGTGCCTCGAGAATTCGCAAGTGTTTCGCATGGTCGAAATCGCACAGCTGTGCTTTTCACGGGCCTCGCTCGTTTTTCTTTGCGAGCGACCCTCGGTTGGGAGTTAACTGGAAACCGCGTTACATGTCAGGGAAATCGACGACAAGCGGCTCTGTCGGCGAAAGCGAAATGCGTAGATCGACAAAATTGTTTCTCAAGCTACACGACAATGACGCAAGCACTTGAAAACCAGGGTGCACATTCAATTGGATTTCTGTCAAAGGTTAACCTTTGACCTCGGGGTTACTCAGTGATTTAGGAATATCTGGGGGGAGTGTTCGCTTCAGCAGGTGAACATTTGAACCCTCGAGATTTGGCAAATGTATACCGAAGTCATCGAATGTGCTTCCGCAAATTCGTTTCCCCCCTCCCCATACCTATTCCGCTCCCACCGAAATTGTTTCCCCTTCCCCCACAATATCGTCTCACCCCCTTTCCCCTTTCCGCCAACCCAGTTGCCCTCCCCTTGATCCCCAATTTCTAGATCCAAGTGTTATCAATTTCTCCCCTGCCAAGCCTCATCTCTCACGGACGAAAAGCCCCATGCTCGCCCATTCTCAACTATTTATTCGCTACTCGTCAACCAATCAGCAGTTCCCGCAAACATGCCGCCCAAAATTTAGCCTGGAGTCGCGTTGAATGTGTACCCTGGTTTTGAATGGTTGATGCTACCAACCAGCATTGCCTTCAGTAATCCGCGATAGTAGCGATTCTCGTGTGTATAAAAGAAAGTAGCAAGTATAAACTAGAAGCTGAAACAAAAATGTGACATTCCTCCACTTCAAGGTGACGACAACTCTCCCATATGCTCCACAACAAACCGGCATGTATGATCTGATGCGGGATCAGCCACAAGGGTCCCATTACCCAGCATGCCTGCAAACAATGCGAATGTGCTAATATATCGAGTGAAGCTCGCCAAAACCGCTGCTTTGCCTAGAAGCACAAAATCGGCCAACGTTGCGAGATGACTCCCACCCGTTTTTGACAAGTGGACTGCCGGCGAAACTGAAAAATACACCTCGCCAAAAGGTCGTAAAATTTCCACCACTTGCGATCGAAGAATATCCGTATCTGTCGCCACAAATATCCTCAGGTGGCCAAGATGAGAGGCTGAAGGCCCGCCAGGTGGCACAATCGAGGCCACAAGATTTGAATCTTCAACCGTCCATTCCTGCAACCTTCTCCTCTGCTGAAGCTGCAACCTTCTCCTCTTCCTGTTCAACCTCCTTTGCCGCTGCGAATCTTGTAGCAGGCGGCGCTTCGTACTCGAAGCTGCTAATAAAGAGGATATAGCCGTGGTATCATTAGAATGAGGAGAAGGTGAGGGAGCAGCAGCTGAGGGAGGAGCAGATTCAGAATGTGGGGACGTGGCGGAGGGGAGGGCCGAGGGAGATGGAGCAGCAGCACTGGGGGGTGCTGCGAGGGATGCAAGGGCTGATGGTGAATGGGTTGGTGATGGTGAAGCGGTGGGTGATAGGGGTGATGTCGATGCAGGGGCTGGTGCGGTGGCTGTAGCTTTGGCGGTGACAGTTACATTGGCAGAGGCAGCATTGAATACCATGCCGGCAGTTGCATTAGTTAGAGGAGAATTGGCTTTCATTAGAGGAGGTTTGGGTGTATTGACAAGGCCAGCAGTGCCGGCTGTAGCGGTGGCAAGCCAGGCGGCAGCGGCGGCTGTAGCGTTGGGGAAGGCACCGGCAGCAGCCTTCTTGACGCGCAGGAACTGCGCCAGCCTGGCGATGCAGCGCCACCTGTTGGGCTTCATCAGGTTGTGCGCGCGAGAAATTTCGGCCTGTTGGCCCCGTTCCTGACATTTGACGTCCTTGTCCCCACAGTGATCGCCCTCAACGTTGCTGGTTGGGGGGGAAGGAGATGGAATGAGACGAGCAAGAATGAGCGGGACGAACCGAGAAGGGAGGAGAAGGGGAAGCCGCCCGCAGCAGCCTTCTTGACGCGCAGGAACTGCGCCAGCCTGGCGATGCAGTGCCAGCGGTTGGGCTTCATCAGGTTGTGCGCGCGAGAAATTTCTGCTTGTTGTGCTCTCTCCTGGCATTTAACATATTTGTCCCCGCAGTGATCGCCCTCCACATTGCTGGTTCGGGAGAGGAGAGGGGCGTAAAGAAGAGTTTGAGTGACAATCACAGCTCACAACTCCTCCTGCGCCCTCTCTCCTGTCAACGCGTGTCCTTGTCCCTGCAGTGATCGCCCTCCACATTGCTGCTTGTGGAAGGGTGGGGAAGAGAGGCAGATCAACAGGAGTGACAGATTGTCAAGTGCGGCTCACACCTCCGCCTGCTGCGCTCTCTCCTGGCACCGAGAGTGTCCTTGTCCCTGCAGTGACCACCCTCCACGTTGCTGCTGGGGAGAGGGGCACAGCGGAGCAATTGAGTGGCAAAAGGAGAGTTGATTTGAATCGCACCCCCTCCCGCCTGCCACTGCATGTCCGTGCGGGCACAGGGAACGAGCCAGCTGACTCGTGAGAATCGGGAGGTCAAACTGCAGTCGACTTCCGCGGCACCACTGTGAAACCCCCGACGAAGGTAGGTCGGCGGCCAACTTCGACTTGGGCGATCGGTGGTCGATGAAGGCGTTCGTCGACCTGCGGGCGCCGACCTGAGGGCACCGGGGACATTACCTAATCGACATGGTTACCTGGTCGACGAAGTCCAGCGGGGGTGCGCGGACGTTGCCCAGGAGGTTCTGGCGATGCCGACATGTGGGCTGGTATCCCAAGGTTGGCGTGGCTTATCTGGCGCAACCGTCGGCACGTGGCCGACTTGGCACCTGTGCATTGTGCGTGGCGGTGCAGTTGAGTGCTCAACCATCTATTTGCAGTTGCGAAGTAGGTGCGATATAGTCACATGCGGTTGCAACGCTAGCAAGCCACCTTGCTACAATGTTTGCAAGCCGCCCTGGTGCAATGCTGGCAGGTCGCCGACTTGCAACGTTGGCAAGCCGCCTCCCAGCCGTGCTGGGACGGTGTCGACTTGCAGTGCTGGCAGGCCGTCCCCGTGCTGCGTTGGAGGTCGACCTGCCTGTGTGTTGGATTGCTAGGCCTCTGATGTAGTCATTCTTGCTATTCTTGACCCTCGACGCAGGGGGTACCCGGCGGCGCAAGCGAGCGGGGAAGCAGCGCGAACGACTCTGAGAGACCTGAGACTAGACGGCGGCGGACCATCTGACTGAGACGCGGGAAAGACGGGTGACCAAGGCGGTGGTGCCCGAGGACTGACGGGTGGGTGAGCGACCGATAGTCGCACGACACAGAGCTACCTGACCCAGCTACCTGAGAAGACTCAGCGCGTAGAGAGTAAAGACCTGAGCCTGGCTCCCTGAGAAACGTGGCCAAAAGTGCCCAAGTGACACCGTCAGTGCAAAACGCTCGTGCGGGGAGGAAAATAGGTGCCGACACTGAGGTCCTAAAGGTGGTTGACACCCACCAAGTTCCTAGATAATGAGGAGATGTGCAGACCTGTGAGGGTCCTACAGGGAACCGCCGGACACGGGAGGGTAGTAGAATTGCGAGCAACTACTGCTCCTACGGTGGGGTCCGCCAAGGTGACAGAGACTCTCCTTTCATCAACCATGCGCATACAGACCACAGACAACCTTAGATCCAGAAAACACCAGAGAGAACAACCCCTTCAAATTGAACTCACACTGAGTGCTCGCGGATGTGAATCGCCAGGTCAAATTGCAGCCTCAGCCCCTCCCCTTTCCCCACCACCCGCAATAGACCATGCACAAATCTATCCAAGAAAGACCTGAGAGCACTCCCTTTGACTTGAACTCACACAGAATGCCCACGGATGTGAATGGAGAGGTCAAACTGCAGCCTCAGCCCCTCTCCTTTGGCAACCATCAACGGCTCAACCTTCCCCTCCTTCGCCTCCCCCTCCTCCATCCCCATCCCTCCCCCTCGGAACACCAGCGGCGGCACCACCCTGAGGTCCCTATCAACCACCTCTTGCACCCCCGGCTTGGGGCCCTTGCCGAGGAGGAGGGAGAGCACTTGCGATTGAATGCACCAGAGGGAGCGGCAGTTGAATGCGTCGTGCACACACTGGTTGATCTGAGGATTTCTTCGCCAAAAGGCATCAAAAAACGCTCCTGGTGGTGGGGACGAGCAGGGGAGGGGAAGGAGAGGGGATACTGATGACAGGAGAGAGAGGCATCGTGCATGCACTGGTTGATCTGAGGGTCCCGGCGCCAAAATGCGTCAAAGAACGCTCCTGGTGGGAATGAATGGGGTAGGGGGAGGAGGAGGGAGTGCAAGGGGGATCAGGAGGAAAGAGAGCACAGTGGATGCACCAAAGGGAGCGGCCACGGAAGGCGTAGTGCACGCATCTGGGGGGAGAGGGGGGAGGGAGGGGTGGGGGGGAGAGGGGGGAGGTTGTGTAAGGGGGAGGAGGACGAGAGAGAGCACTTGAGACTGGATGCAGCAGATGGAGCGGCCGCGGAAGTTGATCGGAAAATTCTGGCGCCAAAAGGTGTCACTGAATGCAGCAGGTGAGGGCGAGCAGGGGAGGGGAGGGGAGGGGAGTGTCGAAGTGAAAGGCCCCGCCCTCGCTTCGGCACAGTCGTCTTGATGCCAATAGGGTGGATTCGACGAAGTGGTCATCGAATGGGCTCTCGCTAGTCGACGGCAGTGATTGTCGACAATGCCCCCACCCTACCCTGTTCAACGGGATTCCGATGTCGATGACAGACCTTGCTGGTCGACGAGAATGGTCGTCGACGAGCCCGTTCTCTGACCGACAGGGGCTATTCGGCGAGCCTCGTCTCGACGAACTGGTCTTTCGAATTTGCTCGACTACGAAATTCTGCGGGGGTGTGCGAATTTTGCCCACGAGGTTTTGGCGAAGTCGATCTGCGAAACGGCATCACGTGCTCGACGGTGGATATCTGGCAAAATCGTCGACACGTATTCAACCTGACATCTGCGCAATGTGCAACAATCATACCTGCACCTACTTACTTGGTAGGTGACGCACATGCTCACCTGCGACTGCAGTGCTGGCTGACCACTTTGGATGCAACACTGGTAGGCCTCCCTGCTGCATCGTTGGCAAGCCGCTCTTCTGCTGTGATAGCAGTTCGCTTTGCAGAATGCTTGCTACGTGTTGCAATGCCTTTCTTGCTAATGTTGTTCGATTTTTTTTGCTAGTGATTTTTTTGTCAAATTTCTCTTTGAACACAGCAAGCAGTGAGAACACTAATATAACGCTACAATTAGCCGCACAACCCTGTGCCCTATTACGTAGTCTACTCCCGTTGTAGAGTGACTCTACTCAGGGATGAGGGGGGGGCGCAAGGAGGGGGGAGGAGAAAGCCTGCACTGGCCTCCACTCACCTGCATTTGCATACACTCAAATACGCCGATGGAACAAGGGGCATACACAAGTCGACAGCCATGACAGAGGATCAGTTGAGCCCATGGATCAATCAAGCCCCTATCTGTTCATGCCGTAAAGCCCACATCCCCAACCTTGAAACAAAAACCATACCCGAGGTGACAGCCATGACAGGGGAGTAATAGTTGAGCCCGTGGATCACAAGCTCCCGCCCCTCCATGAGCTTTGTGTGCTTGCGCATATCCCCTTTATAGTGCAACTCGTCTAGCCCGCAGTAGAACGCATCGCACAGACGCTCCAGGACCTGGAAATTGGATGATGGAATGATGAGGAGGGGAGGGTGAGGGTATTTAGGAAAAGGGGTACCGTAGTAAGTACGCCAAACATTTTCATACTACTTGCATGCCCCATACTCTCCCCCTCCCTCAGCTTCTTGTGAGCCCCCCCAGGCCACCTGAGGAGCCTCCTTCCCTACAGCAGGGCTTGGAATCCAAAAGGTATTGGGAAATGGGTTTGCGCCTTTTCTTTCCCACCCTAACACCTGAAACCCTACACCTTACACTCTGAGACACCATAACCCACCCCAAAAACACTCACCCTCTTGTGAGAACCCCCGTGCCAGCGCAAGAACCTTCGTCCCGACAGCAAAGCAAAGATGAACGCCGAGGTGTATCCCCGCAGCGAGTTCCCCAACCCAAACCGTGGCGTCCAAATCAGCCAGCGCTCCCTGGGCGTATCACCCTGAAGCGCCTGTGAGATGGGCAGCTGCGTCTCCTTCCCCACCCTAGCCCACGAGAGCAGGAGGTCCAGCGGGAGGGGCTCGTGCTTCTCCTGCTGGCGCCGCACGTTGCCGAGGGTCTTCAATTCGGTTTCGTTGGCGTCGCGGCCGTGAATGGGCAGGTTGGTGTAGGCTGGCGGGGGGAGGATGCCCTTGCACGATGGGGTGTTCTGTGGAAAAGGAGGGATGGGGAAGGGAGTGAAGGGAAGGGAGAGGGAAGGTGAAAGTATGAGAGCCGTGGCCGTGAATGGGGAGGTTGGCGTAGGCTGGAGAGGGGAGGATGCCCTTGCATGAGGGGGTGCTCTGTGGGAGAGGGGAGGGAGGGGGGGGAGGGGAGGGAGGGGCGGGAGGGGTTGGAAATGGAGATGGGGGTGGGGAGCTGGAGAATGGGGAGGTTGGCATAGGCTGGTGGAAGGAAAAAGCCCTTGCATGAGGGGGTGCTCTGTAGGGGTGGGAGGGGAGGGAGAGGAGAGGGACGGTGAGAAGATGAGAGTCGCGGTCGAGAATGGGGAGGTTGGTGTAGGCTGGCGGGGGGAGGATGCCCTTGCATGAGGGGGTGTTCTGTGGGGGAGGGGGGAGAGCAGAGTGGAAGAGTGAGAGGCAGGTTTCGTTGGCTAAACACTTCACATAACGCTCACAGTGAGACCAAATCACGTCCTTCGGATTATGAACATGCCCCGCCAGCTGTTGTGGTGCTGGTGCTGAGTCAGCAGCAGCAGCAACAGCATCTCCCTGGCTAAACACTTCACTTAGTTGAGAGCTTACCGCGATGTCATATTGAGCTTCGTGCATGAACATGCAGCGCCAGCTGTTGCCCAGCAACAAAATCTCCACCAGCAACACTTAACTAAGTGCTTACCGCGATGTCGTATTGGGCTTCCCGCATGAACATGCCGCGCCAGCTGTCGCCCAGCCGCGCCACGGGCCACTGCCATTGGTAGCTGTCGTGGTGCTGAGTCAGCATCTCCTCCTCATCCCCCACCTCGTTCCGCCACCGGAACGCCGACTCTCCTTTCTCCTGCGGCCCAGCCACCCACCCATCCACCAACCTCCTCCTTTTCTTGCTTGCCTTTCTCCTCCTCCTGCTTGGCCTTTCAATTGCTGTCCTCTCCGTATTCTCCGGCACTCCTGCCATCCATCCGTCCACCAGCCTTCGTCTCCCCGTCCTCCCGCCCCTTCTGACCCCCTTAGGAACCCCACTCACTCCTCGCCTCTTTCCACTCTCTTCCCTCGCTTCCCTCACCGCCCTCACCCCACTGTTCTTCCCCTCTTCCCGCTTGCCAACTCTACTACCCCCCGTGCTCTCTCCCGCCCTGGGGTCGGTATCCCCCTGCCCTTCACTTTGTGAACTCCTTTTCCCCTTCCATTTACCAATCTCCCTAAAGAGATTTTCAATAATATCTTCCTCATCCTCGTCTGCTGCCTCTTCTGCCTCCCCTTCCTCCTCTTGCTCCCCCTCTTCCTCCTCCTCATCATCGTTCTCCTCGCTCTCTTCCCCCGCATCACCACTCATTTCAAGTTCCTCCCTCTCCTCCTTACTATCCAACACCTCCGCACTCTCCAAACCTCTCTCTTCTCCCGCATTCAACTCAACACCCCCACTATGTTTACCGAAATCCTTCCCTCCACCATCACCATTTCGCAGATCCTCGCCGTCCATCTGACCCAGCCCTGATCCCTCGGGTTCATCTCCGCCGTCCATCTCTCCGAGCCTCAATCCCGCTTGATGCCCGATGTCTATAGCCGTTTCAGATAACCCATTCCCCAACCCTCTCCCCTCCTCCAGCTCTCCCTTTCCCCCCGTTTCAGTCACATCGTTCCAGTCACACCCCTCCCATTCCTCGCACGGCAGAATCAGCTCCAAAAGAGGGTCGCGAGTTGCCGGCAGTCTCCTGCCAGCACTAGTTGACGGCCGGTAACTACCAGTTGACGGCCGGTAACTACCAGTTGACGGCCGGTAACTCCCTGCCGGACTACTACTGCTCAGCGGCTGGAAAGTTCCAGCGAAGCTTCTGGTCGGAATCCAATCGCTACCGGTGACTAATTCCGGTCGTCTGTTTTTGCTAAAGGCGGCCGGTAACTCCGTCCCTCGAGCGCTAGCTGTGTCAGACGAGACTTGACGGCCGTCAGGCGACAGAAATTTCCATGTAGACGATGACGAATGGTCTGGTGACGCCGTGACCGATAAAAGCGGGTTGATAAGTACGATTACCAGCAACGCAATCGTTTCTAATTGACTACGAGTGATTATAACGCGGGCCGCTGGCTTTTTCAAAGCCGCGGTTGCCATGGTTAGTAACTACCGAAGGGAAACCAATGCGACCTTAGAGCATGAAGTGCGGCTAACGAATGTGCTTCAAACAGCGAGTAGACACACTCGGAAGACGCTCCGAAAACTTAGCCGGCATTACTATCTATCATAGAACAGCGAGCGCTGAACCAGGAGGGCGACTGTGCACGAAGACTTCTTCCGACGATCCCCGTGGAGCGAAAAAATCGCGTGAGAATGGTAACTTCGCTTGCGTAGTATCAGCAGACTAGACCCGAAAGAAGAGGATTTGCTGCAAGATTCACGCTTAGACTGTAAAAGTTGGCGTTACGATTTTCTCAAACATCCGTGGCTGGATTACGGCATCAGAAGCAGACTAGAGCAATGTGCCTGATGTCTTCTTGTGATGCACTGTCATCTATCTGGATTCTGAACTCGAGCGATGATATTCAACTCCTATCTGGACGGTCATAAAATCTGACATCTGAAGAGATGTGCATGTGCCAGGGCGTGTTTTGCGACAGGATGAGCTGATTCAAGAATCCGTGATTTCTCGTCTGGTGTCGTCGTTCCTAAGAAAAGCGGTGATGAGAATTCGGGTTCCATGTAGGTTTTCAAAAAAATATGATTCGTTCATTCTGCTATGCCACGCTCACCAGCCAATAACAGAGGTTGGCCAACGATTTCAACTGGCTCGTCTGTATCAGGTCTCTTTGACTTCAAAAAACGAGCCCTTCGTACCAACCACCCCTGTCGCACGCGTTTTTCTGACACAAGACGTATAGTTCAATATTTAGTTTTTATAGAACGGTTGAGCACGGCGCTGTGTGCTTTCGAGCGGTCTTACTGTCATATTCATGCCCTCCATTTCTGTGCTTCTGAAACTGTACGCCTGTTGGTGTGAATTCATAACCCGAACCCTCAACCCTCCCAAGTCCTAACCTGCACCTTCCCACAAGGCCTCACATCACCCTCGTTCAACATCCCATACTTCGCCTCCCTCTTACATCTTTAGTCGCAAATTAATACATGAGTAGACAGGGTCCCTCGTTTCCCGTTGTTAGGTAAACGGCTTCAGACAACTTCGTTATTATTTGGTCGCGGCCTCAGTTCAGAAAGCAGCGGCTGTACAGGCGGAATTTTCCAGCATTTTGCGAATCTGTAGCGAGGGCAACGGTCACGTTCTACTGAACGGTAACAGAATCGTTACCTCTCTGTCAGCAGCGTGGCGGCCACGTGTCCTTGAACGGTTAACGTCAACATTATCTCTACCTCTCTGTCAGCAGCGTGGCGGCCACGTGTCCTTGAACGGTTAACGTCAACATTATCTCTTAGTCACAAAATATGGCGAAGTCGAAGCGCCGAAAGCAGCAGTCGCCGCACCATTCCCCAAATCCCGGACGGTTCAGTCCGGGAGCTTCACAGGGTGGTGCAAAAGCGAATGTGCCACAATCGGGAATTCCACTAACAAATCCCGCTAAACCCCGACCAGGAAATGTTTACATTATGGATCCGCAATTGGTGACACGTGTCGAGAAGATATTGGCCGATAACGATTACGTGACCGTGGAAGACGTTGCACTGAAACTTCGCGAAGCTCATCCTCGGGATTATCAGCGCAAGCCGCAAGGGCCGTTCTTAAAAAGCGTGACTAAAGCGGTGGAGGTACGTCAACCGTGGATCGTTGAATTCGGGAATTTCACTGAAGCCCTTGATACTAGTCAGTTAAACGATGCCTGTGATGCTTCTTTAGCTAAAAACTATAAAAAAAGTTTTGTTCAAGTAAGCGTGATACTTTTATGAACGCCCCCTCCCCTCCCCCAACCCACACCTCGCACCCGCCCTGCCCCCCCCCCCCCCCCCCCCCCCCCCCCCCCCCCCCCTCTCCTACCCCCCTCCCTCCTCTTCCCCCCCACCTCCCCCTCCCTTCCGCCGCTTCCCTCTTCCCTCCCCTGCCTCTCCCCCCTTCCTTCTACAGGCGGCGCAGCAGCGGCTGGAGGGGGGAATGAGCCGCGAGCAGGCGGAGTTTGAGGCGAGCGTACGGGGGAAGAAGAAGGCGGAAGGCGGGCAGGCGGAAGGGGGAGGGGCGGAGGACCAGCGCCTGTCGCAGCTGGAGCAGGCGCACATGCGCGCAAGGGGGATAGTGGAGGCGGAGGGGGGAGATGAAGGGGAAGGGGAGGCGGAAGGGGAGGGGGAAGGGAAGGTGGAGGCTGAGGGAGAAGGGGAAGCGGGGGTGAGCACAGGGAAGAAACCTGATGGAAAGGGTTTAATCGGGGTTGAGGGTTTAGCGGGGACTAGCGGAAGTTTGGGCTTGGCGGAGAAGCGCAAAGGGGGAGCGCGGAAGGAGGGCGCGGGGAAGCAAGGGGGAGGGAAGGATAACGCTGGGGGGGCTGTGGGTGGGGGTGGTAAGGAAGGGAGAGAGGAAAAGGGGGATGGAGAGGTGGGGAGTGAAGCGGGAGAGAGTGTGGAGGGGGAGAATGAGGCGATGAGCGTGGAGTGGAGTGAGGGAGAGAGTGAGGGAGAGAGTGAGGGAGCGAGTGAGGGAGAGAGTGAGGGAGAGAGTGAGGAGCCACCAGAGAGCCCTAAGGACATAGGTACACGCGGCTTTAATCTCCTTAACGCTGCTCTCAGGAAGACTTACGACAAGGCAGGAACAGCAGGAGGAGGGAAGGGAGAAGGGAAGGGGGGAGGGAAAGGGGGGGATAAGGCAGTGGAAGCAGGGAAATCGGCAGGGAAAGGTGAAAGGCCAGGAGCAGGAGGAGGAAGCGGAGGAGGCAAAGCTGCTTCAGCTCCTGCGTTTGCGCCTCTGAGTGCTATAAAGGCAGCAGCTCTTAGGGAGGCGGAGCGACTGGCTGGCAAAGGGAAACAAGTGAGCGCAGGTGCTGCTTCTGCTGCTAACCCTATTGTTGTTCCTGGCACCCCTGCTTCTGCTGCTGGTGCCAGTACTGCCGCTGTCGCTACTGCAAATGCTGCTTCTGCTGTCGCTGCCGCCGCCGCAGCAGCTGCTGCTGCTGCTTCTGCTGCTGGTGTTTCAGTTTCTGCCGTGCCAGTGGTTGGGAATGGAGTAGCAATCGGGAATGGAGTAGCCGTTGCTCCTGGTGTTGATGCAGCAGGAGAAGCGTTGGAGCAGCTTCAGCTGCAGCGGAATCAGGGACAGCAGCAGCAGGGAGAGAGAAGGGGCGTGAAGCGAAAGGAGAAGGATGTGATTGTAACGGATGCCACTAAACAGGGAGCGGATAAGGGCACCACTGATATTGTAGTAGCAGGAGCAAGGCCACTGGCAGCAGGAGCAGCGGCAGCAGGAACAGGAGCAGCGGCAGCAGGAACAGGAGCAGGAACAGCAGGAGCAGGGGTAAAGGCAGCAACAGCTGCTAGGCTCAAAGAGAATCATCTGCAAGAGAAGAAAACCGTTAGTGGTGCTTCTTTAAGTGCTGGCGGCGCTAGTTTAAGTGCCGGTGGCGCCAGTTTGAGCACTGCCGGTCCTGCTATGAGCACTGAGAGCCAAGGGAGTAAGCAGAGAGGTAGCAGAGGAGGGAGAGAGGGAGGGAGCCGAGAGGCAGGGATCAGAAAGGCAGTGAGTTCGCAAAATAGAGGCGAGGTGGGGGGAGTGGAGGGACTAGCAGCAGGTAAGAAACTTGGGGGAGTGGAGGAGGAGGAAGGGATGGAAGTGGGAGAGGAGGGGACGAACAGGGTGCCTGAAAGGGGGAGGGTGAGTGAGGTTGGAAGAGGGTCGGAACAAGAGAGGCAGTCAGAGGGGCTAAGTAAAGGTGGGGACACCAGCAGAGATCTTTTGAGGGACAGGATAAAGCGTGTGAGCACTAAAGGGAAGAAGAAGGCCGGAGGTAGAGGTTCGGGAGTGGCGGATATCTTCCCAGACGAAGCAGGTCCGGGAAATGGAGGTTCGGCCCGGGCCGTGCCTCGGGAGGTCCGGTTTGCGGATTTCGGAGGAATCGACGGGGTGGTGGAGCAGGTTCGGGAGCTTATTCTGTACCCGCTGGCTCATCCGGAGCTGTACGCTTGGCTCGGCGTCGAACCTCCGAGAGGAGTTTTGCTGCACGGCCCTCCTGGGTGTGGCAAGACGATGCTGGCCCATGCCATTGCCAGGGAGGCAGGAGTACCATTCTTCAAGGTCGCTGCTCCGGAAATTGTTTCGGGCATGTCAGGTAAGGAAGGAGCTAAACAGGTGATCTCCACTCCATTAAAGCAGCAGCAGAGGGTGCTGCAGCACGGCCCTTCTGGGTGTGGCAAGACGATGCTGGCCCATGCCATTGCCAGGGAGGCAGGAGTACCTTTTTTCAAGATCGCTGCTCCTGAGATCGTCTCCGGCATGTCAGGTAAGTCAAGAGTTGGCCTCAACCATGTTGGTGCGACTTTTGCTCCAGAATTCTCAAAAGTCGCGCCATCAAGAGTTGGCTCCAAGGCCCTCAACCTCAACGCAAGGTTGGCGTATTCAAGGGTGGTTATGTGGTTCCGAGGCTGGCCTTCTGGGTGTGGCAAGACGATGCTGGCCCATGCCATTGCACGGGAGGCGGGAGTACCATTCTTTAAGATCGCTGCTCCTGAGGTCGTCTCGGGCATGTCAGGTATGCAACTTCTTTGTTCCCAGGCGCCTCAATCAATGCACGGCCCTCCTGCTGGGTGTGGCAAGACGATGCTGGCCCATGCCATTGCCAGGGAGGCAGGAGTTACTGTTCTTCAAAATCGCTGCTCTGGAAATTGTTTCGGGCATGTCAGGTAAGGGCATGTCAGCTAAATAAGCGATTTCTATCCCAGCAGCAGCAGCAGCACAAGGGTGTGGCAAGACAACGCCGGCGCGTGCCAATGCTGGAGAGGCGGGGAGCGGCAAGACAATGCGGGGGTACCGTTCTTCAAGATCGCTGCTCCTGAGATCGTCTCGGGCATGTCAGGTACGCAACTTCGTTGTTCCCAGGCGCCTCAATGCACGACCCGCGTGGGTGTGAAGGGGCCGCCACCAGCACCGCTCAAGACACTATGGGCCTCCCATTGCACGGGAGGGAAGGGGTATCGCTCCTCGAGGTTGCCGTTCCTATTGAGGCGCCTCAAAGGTAGCTGTTCTTGCGATTTGTTTTGGCCCTTGGGCACGTCAACACTCAAGTGAGCACATTGACTGACTCCGTTGCTTTGGTCCCGGGGGCCAAAATTCTGTCTCACCAAACCAAGTGAGGATGGTTCCAATGCAAGGGGGGCAGGGGCGGGGGTGACGTGACGGTACCCCAATTGCTCCATTATCAAGTGATGGTGGTGCCTTTGGGCCAACATGCTGTTTCTCCCGGTTATGGTCCCTCTTCTCTCAGAAGAAAGAGCAGAAGAAAGGTTATGGTTATCCTCCATTATTGATGAGATTGATGTAACACCCCCAAGAGATGGAGAGTTCAGGAGGATTGCGGGTGGGGTGGGGCGCAGCACAGTTGCTGACAGCGTGTCCAGTTGCACAGTTGCTGACAGCGTGTCCAGTTGCACAGTTGCTGACAGCGTGTCCAGTTGCACAGTTGCTGACAGCGTGTCCAGTTGCACAGTTGCTGACAGCGTGTCCAGTTGCACAGTTGCTGACAGCGTGTCCAGTTGCACAGTTGCTGACACCGTGTCCAGTTGCACAGTTGCTGACAGCGTGTCCAGCTCAAAAGTCAACTTGTGTCATCTTCAGTTGGTGGTTTCCTTTTGACTGCGGCAGGTGAGGCTGAGGTTAAGCTACGGTCGTTCTTCTCCTCGGCTGAAAGGGCTGCTCCCGCCGTTCTGTTCATAGATGAGATCGATGCCATTACACCCAAGCGGGAGACGGCTCAACGGGAGATGGAGAGGCGAGGAGGATAGCAGGTGGGATGGGGCACAGCAGCACAGCACAGCTGCTGATCATTCCTCCTTTGTATTGTCTCTTTGCTTTTATATCTGACCAGGTGAGTCGGAGGCCAAGCTACGGTCGCTCTTCTCCTCGGCTGAAAGGGCTGCTCCGGCCATTCTGTTCATAGATGAAATCGATGCCATCACACCCAAGAGGGAGACGGCACAGCGGGAGATGGAGAGGCGGATTGTGGCTCAGCTGCTGACGTGTCTGGACGACCTCCAATCATCTCCTGACGCGTCAGCAGGGGGAGGGGATGGGGAGAAGGCAGGGGATGGGAGAGAGGAGGAGAAGGAGAAGGAGCAGGGGAAAGGGATGGAGGAAACGGAGAAGGATCAGGAGGAGAGGGAGAGAGAGCGGGAGGAGAGGGAGAAGGAGAGGAGGAGGAAGCTAAAAGGGCATGTGGTAGTGATAGGGGCAACCAACCGTCCAGATTCATTGGATCCTGCTTTAAGACGGGCGGGCAGATTTGATCGCGAGATCTCCCTTGGGATCCCCGATGAGTCAGCGCGGGCCCGGATTCTTGAGGTACTTTCCAGGAAGCTGCGGCTGGAGGGGTCGTTTGATTTCAGGGTTATTGCGCGGCGTACCCCGGGGTTTGTCGGGGCGGACCTGGCGGCTCTTGCGAAAGAGGCGGCTGCGATTGCGGTGAAGAGGATTTTTACGAGTAAGGAAGCGGTGCTGGTGGGTGGTGGGGGATTGGGGGGAGCAGCAGGAACAGGAATGGCAGCGATAGCAGGAGTAGGGGGGGCAGGAGTGGAAGGGACTGGGGTACGGGAAGGTGCGGCAGGTGTTTCAGCAGCAGCAGCAGCAGCAGCAGGCGATGGTGATTGTATGATGATGGATGGGGAAGTGAATGTTCCTATGGTGAATGGGGAGGAGGGAGAGGCGCAGAAAAAAAGTGAAGGCGAGAGGAGTCGGGGAGGGGAGGAAGGTGGGCCCGGAGCGGAAAAGCAGGGCGAGGCTGGGGGAGAGGAGGGGAGGGAGAAAGCAGGGAGAGGAGAGGTGGAGAGGGGGATAACAGGGGGAGGGGAGGCTTGGAGGGAGCCGTGGAAGGAGGAGGAGCTGCAGGCGCTGAGCATCACAATGGGTGACTTTGAGGTGCGTGGGGTTAGAGTGATAAAAGAGAGGGTTTAGGGGTTTCCGGTTTCGGGTCCTGGGTCTGGTCTGTGATGCAGCCAGGGAGGAGCTGCAAGCATTGGGCGGGCATCACAATGGATAGGGGACTTTGGGGTGCGTGGTGTAGTAGAGTAAAGAGAGACATGGTAGCATGGTGGCATGGTGGCATCCCGTGTCTCATGATGCACCCAGAGAGGAGCTGCAAGCATTGGGCGGGCATCACAATGGATAGGGGACTTTGGGGTGCGTGGTGTAGTAGAGTAAAGAGAGACATGGTAGCATGGTGGCATGGTGGCATCCCGTGTCTCATGATGCACCCAGAGAGGAGCTGCAAGCATTGGGCGGGCATCACAATGGATAGGGGACTTTGGGGTGCGTGGTGTAGTAGAGTAAAGAGAGACATGGTAGCATGGTGGCATGGTGGCATCCCGTGTCTCATGATGCACCCAGAGAGGAGCTGCAAGCATTGGGCGGGCATCACAATGGATAGGGGACTTTGGGGTGCGTGGTGTAGTAGAGTAAAGAGAGACATGGTAGCATGGTGGCATGGTGGCATCCCGTGTCTCATGATGCACCCAGAGAGGAGCTGCAAGCATTGGGCGGGCATCACAATGGATAGGGGACTTTGGGGTGCGTGGTGTAGTAGAGTAAAGAGAGACATGGTAGCATGGTGGCATGGTGGCATCCCGTGTCTCATGATGCACCCAGAGAGGAGCTGCAAGCATTGGGCGGGCATCACAATGGATGGGGGACTTTGAGGTGCGTGGTGTAGTAGAGTCAAGCCTGCGCACTGACTCATGATGCATTTGGCAGGAGGAGCTGCAGTCATAAGGCTTGCTGCTTACCACTTGATGTACCACCTGATGTACCACCTGATGTACTACCTGATGTACCACCTGATGTACCACCTGATGTACCACCTGATGTACTACCTGATGTACCACCTGATGTACTACCTGATGTACTACCTGATGTACCACCTGATGTACCACCTGATGTACCACCTGATGTACTACCTGATGTACTACCTGATGTACCACCTGATGTACTACCTGATGTACCACCTGATGTACCACCTGATGTACCACCTGATGTACCACCTGATGTACCACCTGATGTACCACCTGGGCTGGTAGGCGCTGAGGCGCTGCAGGCGCTGAGCATCACAATGGGGGACTTCTAGGTGCGTCAAGTGCCTTCCCTTCCCATCTGAGAATCACACACCACCCTACAAGTTGTATTCCCTCACACCACTCTCTGCCACTCTCTACCCTGCAGGCAGCAGTGGCAAAAGGTGCAGCCAAGCGCCAAGAGGGAGGGCTTCACCACCATCCCTGGAATTTATTGGTTGCAATAACAACCCTGAGTGATGATATGAACAAGTTAACTTCCCTCTCATGACTATGTACCGCTCTCTACCTCTCTGTACCACTGCAGGCAGCAGTGGCGAAGGTCCAGCCGAGCGCCAAGAGTGAGGGATTCGCCACCATCCCCGGGGTCACCTGGGACGACGTGGGGGCTCTGGGAGATGCTGCAAACGTCATTTACACCTCTCACCACTCTCCACCACCATCCGCCACTCTCTGCCACTCTCTGCCACTCTGTACCACTCTCTGTCGTGCAGGCTGCAGTCTCCTTGGTGCAACCAAGTGCCAAGAGGGAGGGCTTCACCACCATCCCTGGAGTCACTTGGGACGACGTTGGTGCTCTGTCAGACTGAGTTCCGAGAGCCATTTCTACCACTGCCTGCCACATTTCACCGCTCTCTACCACTCTCTATTTACGCACTCTCCCTTTCTCGCGTGCAGGCAGCAGTGGCGAAGGTGCAACCAAGCGCCAAGAGGAAGGGATTCACCACCATCCCCGGAGTCACCTGGTTGTAGCCCTGGAAGATGTCACGAACTCCTTTTATTCCCTCTCACCACTTTGTACCCCTCTCTGCCTCTCTCTGCTGCTCTTTACCACTCTGTACTCTACCACTGCAGGCCGCAGTTTCCAAGTTACAGCCGAGTGCCAAGAGGGAGGGATTCACCACCATCCCCGGGGTCACCTGGGCGTTGATATGATCAAGCTATATCCCTTCTCGCCACTCTCTGCCTCTCTCTACCTCTCTTTACCACTCGCTACCACTGTGGAGTGGACCACTGCAGGCAGCAGTGGCGAAGGTCCAGCCGAGCGCCAAGAGGGAGGGATTCGCCACCATCCCCTGAGTCACCTGGGACGACGTGGGGGCTCTGGGAGATGCTGCAAACGTCATTTACACCTCTCACCACTCTCCACCACCCTCTGCCACTCTCTGCCACTCTGTACCACTCTCTGTCGTGCAGGCGGCAGTCTCCAAGGTGCAACCGAGCGCCAAGAGGGAGGGATTCACCACCATCCCTGGAGTCACCTTGGACGACGTTGGTGCTCTAGGAGATGCTGTAGACCTCTTCTTCTTCCCTCTCACCACTCTCTGCCACTCTCCGCCGCTCTGTACCCCTCTCTACCCTGCAGGCAGCAGTGGCGAAGGTGCAACCAAGCGCCAAGAGGGAGGGATTCACCACCATCCCTGGAACTTCTTGGTTGCAATAACAACCCTGAGTGATGACATGAACAAGTTATCTTCCCTCTCATCACTATGTACCGCTCTCTACCTCTCTGTACCACTGCAGGCAGCAGTGGCGAGGGTGCAACCGAGCGCCAAGAGGGAGGGATTCACCACCATCCCTGGGGTCACCTGGGACGACGTTGGTGCTCTGGCAGACGTGCGGGAGGAGCTGGAGTTCTCCATTTCTCGGCCAATCAAGTACCCTGAGGAGTATGAGGTGAGGGTATTGCCGGACATGTTTAGAGTAACATGTAACGCCATGGTTCCCCGGAGTCACCTGGGATGACGTGGGGGCACTCTCGGATGTGAGGGAGGGGGTGGAGTTCTCAATCTCTCTCGGCCCATCAAGTACCCCGAGGAGTATGAGGTGGGTTGAGAATGAATGGATTGCCCGTTGATGCGTGGGTAACGAGCATGTACGATGTGGTACAAGTCACATGGCAGACCTGGGTGCACTGCACTGGCGGATGTGAGGGGGGAGCTTGAGTTCTCAATCTCTCTCGGCCCATCAAGTACCCCGAGGAGTATGAGGTGGGTTGATTGCTTCAAATCCAAGCCAAAAACTCATGAAAGTGACAGGGAGAACTTTCGTTCCCAGGGGCCACCTGGGACAATGGGAAGGGGGGGCTCTGACAGACGTGAGGAAGGAGCTGGCGTTTTCAATTTCTCGGCCGATTAAATTACCAAGAAGGAGTATGAGGTGGGTTGCACTGCCGAGAAGGAGTATGAGGTGGGCTGCACTGCAACGCATGGGGTAAGTAACGTGATGCCTGATGTGAGTGAGTGAGTGCAGTGCAGTGCAGCTTGACTTGTCCAACTCTTGAGTTGGAGGGAGCAGGGTCATTCATCCACAGGGTCTTTGACCAACTCTGGGTCTGTGGTCAGCCACTCCCCCACGTCCCCACGCGACTGATCACAGAGCCTTGATTGTACTCGTCGATCAATCAATATCAGGACCATCTGACGTCCGCACGTGACTGATCACAGAGCCTCAGAGTGGGGGCGGAGTTGGAGTTTCCATCTCTCGCTTCTGAGAACTCTCAGAAGCCCGTATAGATTGCGATGATATTTGAGGCGCATAAAGAATCAGCCCTTTTTCTCTTCATCTCCCGTCCCATGTTCTCCAATGATCCACGTTCCTTCCACCCTCTCTTCCGCACTCTCCCCCAACTCCTCCACCTGTCTTTTAAGATTCTCCCACTATCTACTCATCTCCGCCACTCTCTCTCTCTTCGATCGTCCCTCTCTTGTTCTCCTTCTCGTTTGTCTTTCTATCTGCCTTTCTGTCTTTTTTTCTGTGACGTTTTATAAAACTCGACTCGTTCGCAGCACTCGTCTAGGGACGTGTCTGTGACGAGTTTGACACTCGGCCGGAAATTTTTGGCCGAGGCAAGCCGAGTTTGCCCCCCCTCCCAAAAAAACCTCGGCCGAGTTTTGCTCAGCTCGGGCAATCACTCAGCCAAGTCCTGACCAGCACGAGCTGAGTTGACTTTTGAGTCGACTCAAAAGTCAACTCGGGAAACTGCTCGGCCGAGTCCTGACCAGCACGAGCCGGGTTTTGCTCGACTCGGCCGAGTCGGCTGCTTGCACATGTCTAACTTTATGTCTGTCTGTTGGCAGGCCATGGGGCTCCGGATAGCAACCGGCGTTCTCCTCTACGGCCGCCCAGGGTGCGGCAACACTACTGTGCCAGAACCACAAATTCCAAAATTCTCCGTCTATTTGCCCGCCTGTCTGTCTCTCTGTCCGTCTGTCTGTTGGCAGGCCATGGGGCTCCGGGCAGCAACGGGCATTCTCCTCTACGGCCCGCCGGGGTGTGGCAAGATGCTGGTGGCCAAGGCGACCCTCCTCCTCCACCCTCTCTTGCCCCCTCTGTCTCTCTCTGTGTCTGTCTTGCAGGCCATGGGGCTCTGGGCAGCAACCGGCATCCTTCTCTACAGCCCGCCAGGGTGCGCCAAGACATCTGATCAGATCCCCTCTCCTCTCTCATCTGTCTTGCCTCTCTCTTCTTATCCTTGCCTCAATGGCTCCTTGTCTCCTCCAGGCCATAGGTCTCCGGGCAGCAACGGGCATTCTCCTCTACGGCCCACCGGGCTGTGGCAAGACGCTGGTGGCCAAGGCCGTACTCCTCCTCATCTCTTTCACCCTCACTGTCTATCTGTCTGTCTGTCTGTCCTTTGCAGGCCATGGGGCTCCGGGCAGCAACAGGCATCCTCCTCTCTACGATCTCCCCGGGTGTGGCAAGACGCCGGTGGCCAAGCCCATGTTCCTCCTCATCTCTTTCACCCTCACTGTCTATCTGTCTGTCTGTCCTCCAGGCCATGGGGCTCCGGGCAGCAACGGGCATTCTCCTCTACGGCCCACCGGGCTGTGGCAAGACGCTGGTGGCCAAGGCGGCCCTCCTCCACCCTCTCTTGCCCCCTCTGTCTCTCTCTTCTTATCCTTGCCTCAATGGCTCCTTGTCTCCTCCAGGCCATGGGGCTCCGAGCAGCAACGGGCATTCTCCTCTACGGCCCGCCAGGGTGTGGCAAGACTCTGGTGGCCAAGGCGATTGCGAACGATGCCGGAGCAAATTTCATCTCTATCAAGGTATGCCTGTGTGCGTGCCGGGCAAATCATAATACAAGGCAAGGCATGTTATCAAGGCATGCTTTTTCTCGATAGAGTGTGACAGTGGCGCGATTACCTGCGATGCTGTCAGTAGTGGACAGGTGGGCTGCAAAGGCCTTCTTTCCATCAACTCGAGTTGTTCTAGGGCAACGAGACGAACCCCATGGGTTAGGTGAGTGGAAGAAAGAAGCCTGGTTACCTGGTTACATGGTTACATGGTTACATGCAAGCAAGAACGTTTACAAGAGAGCCAGCTTGAATCAAAACTTCAAACTTAGAATCAGTTTCGTGGCGCGTTCGCCAGCAATGCACGAGCAACCAAGTTTCATCTCAAGCACAACCATTACCATGTCTCCTCCTTCCCACGCCCACTTGATAACAGTGTGGCTTTGAGACGTCTCAAAACTACGCTGTTATCACGGAGCAAGTTTCATCTCAAGCACAACCATTACCATGTCTCCTCCTTCCCACGCCCACTCCCACCCTCCATCTCTTCTCAACCTGCTTTTACTTTCCAGGGACCAGAGCTGCTGAACAAGTACGTGGGCGAGAGCGAGCGGTCGGTGCGGCAGCTGTTTGTGAGGGCAAGGGCATCATCTCCCTGTGTGCTCTTCTTTGACGAGGTGAGGCACTGACTGCTAAGTTACCTCATGACTAGCTGCTTGTGCGGACGAGTTGCATTGCACGGGCAGCTGTTTGTGCGGGCCAGGGCATCGTCGCCCTGTGTGCTCTTCTTTGATGAGGTGAGACAGGAGCATAGTCAGTTGCCCTGTGCACCTCATGGCTACCTGTTTGTGAGGGCGAGTTTTGAGGTGACTCAAAAGCGCCTTTTGAGTCGACTTACAAGTCACCTATTCAGTGGCTTTGTTTGTGAGAGCAAGGGTATCGTCGCCCTGTGTGCTGTTTTTTATGAGGTGAGAGCATGTGCGTAGTTACGAGTCAACTGGTACTAAAAAAGCACCCACCTCCACAGGTAGCCGCAATGGCTCCACGGAGATGGCCGGACGGCAATGGGGCAACAGAGAGAGTGGTGAGCTGATCGCCTCTCCCCACCCCTCCTCACCTCTCTCCCGTCCCCCCCAACCTTCCCTCACCGCTCCCCACCTCCGCAGATGGACGCAATGGCTCCACAGAGATGGTCGGACGGCAATGGGGCAACAGAGAGAGTGGTGAGCTGATGGCCTCTCCCCACCCCTCCTCACCTCTCTCCCATCCCCCCCAACCTTCCCTCACCGCTCCCCACCTTCGCAGATGGACGCAATGGCTCCAAGGAGAGGGTCGGACGGCAATGGAGCAGCAGAGAGAGTGGTCAACCAGGTGAGGTGGCAGGTCAACGTGGGTCAACGGGGTTCAACCAAGTGAGGTGGCAGGTCAATGGGGGTCAACCAGGTGAGGTGGCTGTTCAACGCGGGTCAACCAGTCTTGTTGTTTCAATATATTTATGTAACGTTTGGTGCGTGTTTTTTCTGCCTTTGTCATTTCTTCTTTCCTTCTTGTTCTAATGAAATATTTCGTGATTTGTCCTTTCAGAACCCACTTTCTAGCTTTTTGCTTCTCGTTCGCAAATAACGTTTGGCTCTGACATGCCTGTCGTCGTTGTGCTTCTTATTGCATTGTGGGAACAGCTTCTAACGGAGATGGATGGGCTTGAGTCACGCAAAAGCGTCTACATCATCGCTGCCACCAACAGGTGTGTGCTGTGCGGTGGAGGGGGGGTGGTGGTGGTTGGTTTGGGGGTGGGTGGATGTGTGTGGCTGGAGTCACGCAAAAGCGTCTACATCATCGCTGCCATCAACAGGTGTGTGTGTGTGTGTGTGTGTGTGTGTGTGTGTGTGTGTGTGTGTGTGTGTGTGTGTGTGTGTGTGTGTGTGTGTGTGTGTGCCAGGGTTTAATCCTCCTAACGCCTTCTTCTTCCTCTCCCTGATTCATCCGTTAGTGGAATTAGAGTCCGGATCCGTTTTTTCTCGGTTTTAAACTGTCAATCTCTTGCTAAAAGATTCTCTCTAGACTGCAGCTCTCCTGAAACACTTGTATGGCTCACAATCCCATAGATTGTCAGCCATAGAGGGGCGAATGGAAGGGATTGTCGGATGTTGGATCCAGGTCGAAACTACCTTTCTATGAAACACTTCTACCTTTCTATGCGACAATCCGTTCCAGAGCGCTGATGAACGCCACCGGCCGAAACGCGCGTACGCTCAGGTTTGAATGACAATTTCTTACCTATCCAATCCCTACTAGCCTAAGCTCAGCCTAGAGGAGATTAGGACGAGTTACCTGCTGGATCCAGGTCGAAACTGTTTTACTATGCTACCTTTCTATGCGACAATCCGTTCCGCTCGCCCCTCCTAATGCCTTCTTCTTCCTCTCCCTGAGTTTTCGACCCAGCACTCCTCCCTTCCAAAGATTTCACTTTCATTGTTGATCCTCATTCTGCACCCCACTCCTTTCCCTCCCCTCCCCACTTTCCCTCCCCCCATATGCTCACCTGCCACGGGTCAAACCCAACTGATCGTCCCGGCTCTCCTCCGTCCCCGTTCAGCTGGACAATCTTCTTCATTTCATTCCACTCCTTTTTTAGATTTCTCACAGATTTCCCTCCCCACTCCCCCCTCCTCCCTCCCTCCTTTCCCAGACCTGGCATGATCGACCCTGCTCTCCTCGGCCCCAGCCGGCTCGACAAGCTTCTAGTTGCTCCCCTCCCTTTTGAGAATTCTCAATTGTTTCCCTCCCCCCTCATCCCACCCTCCGACCCTCCCTGATTTCTTCCCCAGACCTGACATGATCGACTCGGCACTCCTCCGCCCTGGTCGACTGGACAAACTTCTTTTCATTCCGCTGCCCGACGCGCCGTCTCGGGCAGCCATCTTGTGCACTCTCATTCGCTCGATTCCCCGGGCAGAAGACGTGAATGTTGAGCTTATGAATGAACTGGCAGGGGTAGGGGATGGTGGGGCAGCGGCAGCAGGGACAGCAGCAGAGGCAGCAGGGGTTGCAGGGTTAGCAGCAGGGGAAGAGATTGTTAGCAGTGCTGGGCAGAGAGGAGGAGGAGGATTAGCAGGAGTGGGGGACGAAAAAGGAGGGAGGGAGCAGAATGGAGAAGATTCAGTTGTAGCTGAATCGGAGGGGCAGAAAGCAAGGGGTGGGAAGGTAGGAGGGAAGCTTCCCAGGGCGGCTAGAGGACACAAGGCCGTTTGTGATGGATTCAGTGGTGCTGACCTGGCAGCTCTGGTGAGTTGACTCTCGTTGACTTGGGTTGACTTGCTTCTTACTGCTGACCTGGCTGGCAGCGCTGGTGAGTTGACTTTTGGTGACTTGCTCTGACTTGTGCTGACTTGAGTGAGGCGTGTGAGAGGCATGGGGAACCTGTAACGCTCATCTTGAGTTCAGATCTAAAAAACTCAAAACTTGCTTATTCAATCATGAAGTTTGTCACCCATAATCACCATCTCCCTCCCTCTGCATCATTGAATCCCTTTTTTGCCTCACGTCTTTCTCGCCCAGGTGCGGGAAGCATGTGTGATGGCATTGCGAGAGCGCATGTCCAATCGATGCACAGAAGCGGAAGCAGCAACTCCGCTTCTCCCTGCTGCTTCTGCTTCAGCGACTGCTGCTGCCGCTGCTTCTGCACCACCTCTTGCTACGGCCACTGCTGTTGCTCCTGTCACTCCTGCTGCCGCATTGGACAAGGGACTGCAGGCTCGGCCCAGACCTGTAGTGGAGGCTCGGCATTTCAAGAAGGCACTGACCCGAATTGTGCCTTCGGTTTCTCCTCAGGTGGGCTTGTGGGCTTGTGAGCTTGTGAGCTTGTGAGCTTCTGGGCTTGTAGGTGAGTTCGTTTGATATGGGCCATCTGTAAGCTTCTGGGCTTGTAGGGTGTTTGTTGATATCAACTTGCGGGCTTGTGGGCCTGTGGGCTTGTGGGTGGATTGCAAATGGTGGATGAATCTGCCTGTCCGTGGTATGCCTGTTGGTGCTCGTTGAGGTGCCTCAAAAATCGTGTCGTGCTTTGATTGGCCTCAAAAAATGTTTTGCATTTGAGGAGAGGAGCCTCAAGTGTAGTTTATTAGCAGTAGTGGGTGGATGTATCTGCTGCTCCGTGGTATGACTGGTGGTGCTTCTGTGGTGGCATCATGCCATCATGTGTGCTGCCATCGCTTTTGAGAATTCTCAAAAGCGATTTCAACATAGTGGGTGGATGTATATGCTGCTCCGTGGTATGACTGGTGGTGCTTTTGTGGTGGCATCATGTTTGTTGCCTATCGCAATTGTGTTGCACTGCATTGTTCTGTATTGCACTCTTTCTTAACCCTGCATTGTGGCGTATCGCATCGTAATGTGTTGCATTGTACTATACCGCACTGTACCATATCGTTGTCTTCTCTGCTGCGGTGTCCTCTCTTGCATTGTTCTCTATCGCATTCTTATCCACTGCACTGCACCAAATTGCACCGTACTCAACTGCATAAAACCTTTTCACGTTGAACTCAATCCCACTGAACGATATCGCAACATACTCAATGGATATCAACTCTACTGAACTACATCCCATTGTACTGTATCACATTCAACACTATTGCACTGTACTGTATCGCACTGTATGTTGCAGGATATCAAGCGCTATGAGGACCTTCGTCGCAACCTGAGGGGTGCGCGCTACCACATTGCCGAGTAGGGAAAGGGGAGGGTGCAGGTGCAGAGGAGGGGAGGCGTGGCAACTCCAAGTTCCAACCTGTTTCTCTCGCAATTAAGATGGCGACACTGATTTCATTTTCGCTAACACTGAGAGAGTGGAGTAGTTCTTTCTTGGTGAACACTAATTATTTTATCACGGCTCCGGCTAGCCATTTTTCGGCTAGTGTGCCTTCAGAGTAAAGTAAACAATGGCTGGTGAGTTAGAATTCCTTCTACCGTAAGCCCGCAGGCCTCGGATAAGCGTGCAGGCCTCGGATAAGCGCCGGCGGTTATAAAAGGATGAGGGCGCTTATATCCGGTCCTCGATTATAAGCCCACCCCTGATGGCTTACAGATTATAAGCACACCCTTGTTGGTTACAGATTATAAGCGACTCCCTAAATTGTCAACTTTTTATATATTAAGGTGTTTTTTATACATCCTTTCACTACTCCACATTAATCCTGATGGCTTACAAAGTTCAATAACATTCTATAGTACCTACACATCCTAAGCATCGCCCCCAACTGTGGTGGGCTCATCTACGGCATGCTCTCCGTCCGACTCTGGCTCCTCTACATTGTTGCAGCAGAATCCATCTGCTGCAATCTTGTCATCAAGTTCTACTTCACCCCTGACGGCGTCCGGCCGGTGCTGCATGAAGAGATTGTCCTGGGACCCATCCAGGGCGTTGCTGATGCCACAGGTGAGAAACGAGCGCTCAATCAAGTCCTTGCGCACGACCTTCCAGGCCTTAGATATCCACCTGAGCGTCAGCTCTTGAGGTGGCTTGCGAATGTTGCCTGCCATGAAAGAAACAACAGTAGTCAGCGAGGGTGGGAACAAGGGGTCAACAAACATTCACGCGGGGGGATTGAGCTCACCTCGTTCGGTAAGGCAGTCGATGCGGAGAGTCACTCTACAAGGTAGTGAGCTAGACTACGGGGGGGTTGGAACGAACTACTAGGAGTGATCGTAGCTTTGCTTAGTTCCTTAGCGCTTGCACGTTCACGGGAGAAATCGGCAAGAGTTTCACTAGGCAAAGATTGCATTGCAGGATGATTGAACAAGCAATGACAGAAATGACTACATCAGGCACCTAGCAACTCTGCAGCTAGCCTGGTCGACCGCCTGCCAGCGTTGCGTAGAGGAGCCGCGCCAGCACTGCAGAAAGGCAACCTGCCAACTCTGCAGGTCGACGGCGTGCCAACGCTGCAGCAGAGCGGCTGTCCAGCGTTGCCCCGTAGAAGACAGCAGTGCGCACGTACACAGGTGCGCGCAGACGATTGGCCCGACTTGCATCGTTGTGCATCCGTCGGCTGTTGTCTGCGCCTGACAAGCCACATCGACTTCGGGATACCAGCCCGAAGTCGCCTTCGTCACTACGACCTCGACGACGTTCGCGTGCCTCCGCAGAACTCGTCGAGCAGGTTACCTGGTCGACCTGGTTGACCACCAAGTGCTCTGGTCGACCACCAAGTGCGTCTGGTCGACCACCAAGTGCCTCTGGTCGACCACAGCTCCCGTCGAGCTACCCCCTGGTCGACGGACCCCTCCGTCGACCAGAACTGTCAGCTGTTGTCGCCGAGCTCCCCTCGTCGACCGCTGCTCACATGTCAGGTCGACGGACTGCTCCGTCGACCTCCCCGTCGAACTGCTCCTCCTGGTCGACGGCCCACCCGTCGACCAGCCCAGTCAGCTGCAGCTGTCGAGCTCCCTGGTCGACGGCTCCAGCCCCGTGACAGACTTGTGCAGGTGGACGACCACTTCGTCGTCCTGCCCCGCAGAAGAAGGCCGTCGAACTCCCTGGTCGACGGCAACACCATAGTGATTCCCTGCAGCTCGACGAAACCCGTCGAGCAGCTCCCTCAGTGTGAACGGTCGGCTGCTTCTCCCGTACATCCGACCAAGTCGTCGGCGTTGCCCAAGCGAGGGCGGGGCCAACATTCCATTCCCGTTAACAGTCGACCCCCTCGCTCTCAAACCACTCCTGGTACAGCTGTCGGACCGATGCTT